AGGAAGATTTTTGTATCCCCTGACCAGTCACCAGTCCAGGAAGGAGTCTTGGGAAGGAGAGAAGATACTATTTAAGGGGCAGTTCGAGATCATAATGGAATTCACGCTATCTGAGAAAACCACACAGATAAGCCACTAGCGTACAAGTAGCAAACCTCGAATGTCTTTATATCTTCGTGTCTTTGTTTTCCCCCTCCAAGTAGGCACATCTATTTATTTAGTTCCTTTAAAGTGGAACTTCTCTTTTTGAAATATTTCTTGGCTTTCACAATAAAAGACATACAAACAAAAGGGCAATTCGTTAAGAGTGAGCAAGTTGAGCTAATCCAGTTAGTCAGGAGCCCTGGCTACCTATTAAAGGATGGCAATAAACTGAAAGCTCTGCTCTAATTAAAACATGACTGGCTTCAGTGATGACTCCAGTTTGCTTCTCATTGTTTTCAAGCCTCAAATGCCCTTTATGGTGTATATAAAAAAGGAAAGCAGTGACAGCAGATCGGCTAGAAACAAGCCCCCAGTTGCTCAGGCTTCACCTAGAGCATTCGCCTTCCCCACTCCGTGCTCCACTTCCCTCTCCTGGAGCCGCACAGCCCAGTGTTACTCCCTGTATACTGTACAGCAAGGATTAGCCTACCCCATGCGTGGCTGAATAGACCTTTACTTCCCTGTGGTTCTTCTGCTCCCTCTCTGCCAGTAGGGAGACAGATGGAAATAGCACCACCTGCCAGAAGGTGGCGTGTGGCAAGGATGTGCCACATTTTGCACTGACTGCTTGCTTTCCAATTCCTAAAAACTGCACAAACAACAGTGAAATTTTCAGTGTGGTTCTATTAAAGATACCAAAGGTGTTCTATTAGTCAAAATGATAGGTGTACAGAAGAGGCTTCTGTGGGACACTGGAAGGTGAGGATTACAGTTACAGATAGGGGAACTAGTATTATGACTCGGGCTTCAAGGTTTTGTAGCAAGTCCCAGGCAGACCCAAAACAGGGATCCTGTTCCCCTCAGAGCTCATGCCAACTCCAACTTCCATTCCTGAAATAAAATGCCTCTACTTCATAGGCTAGTAATGGACTCTTCAAAACCTACTGTTAGGGTGTCTTTTAAAGAAAGCTGGTAATAATTGTTAATTTTCTCTTTTTTTTTTCTCTTCTGTGCAGTGCAAAAGATATGAAACATCGGCTGGGTTTCCTGCTGCAGAAGTCTGATTCCTGTGAACATAATTCTTCCCACAGCAAGAAGGACAAAGTGGTTATTTGCCAGAGGTAAGAGCAAAGAGCTTGGCAAAGATCCATTCAGTATTAACTATCTGGTGATAGAGATACTCTCTGAGAAGAGAAGGAAGTTATACCCCTAGTTAAGCCAGATTTGGATCAAGATGACTTTTCATGGTGATCATAATTACATTTGAAATTTACATACATTTAGTGAAAAAAACTGCCCTAATCAACAAAAGATCTTATCATAAATATGGTGAATAAAATCTCTGTATTATGTACAGGACCTTAAGTTTCTTAGCCCAGTTTTATATCATGGCATTCAAATGATTCTTTTTCTCTGTAATTGTTCCAGAGTGAGCCAAGAGGAAGTCAAAAAATGGGCTGAATCACTGGAAAACCTGATTAGCCATGAATGTAAGTCTGACTCCCCACTCCCAACCCCCAGCATGAAGATAAAGCCACTCTGAATAGGACAAGTTGTCTCATACTATGCTGATAGAAACTGCAAAAAGGCCTGGGTTCCTTCTGACTTCCAGACTCAGGAAAGCCTTTTGATCTTATATCCAGTTTGTTTATAATTTTGCCATGCCCTAGAGCTTTGTGAAATGTAATGGAGAGTTCTTACAGAAACCACATGCAAAACCATTTCTCTCATTGCATGGGGAAAGGACAGAGAGAAAAAATCCTAAATATTGAGATCTCTTGCAAGATCAGCTTCAGTTTATGTTTCCTAAACCCACCTTGGCAACTGATAGATGCATAGGCATTTCAGAAACAAAATACTTCCTTGAGAGAGGCTTGAACTTGGAGCAACAATCGTTAAATATAACTGGCATTCTCTGTATACCAAAGACAGATTAGAGTTACCTACCCCCAAGTGTCAAGTGACCCCCTCCCCAAAAGGAGAGGATTGCTTGAACCCATGACTTTTTCTCCCAAATATGTCAACTTTTTCTGAAATACAACATCCAAGAGGCCTGCCTGACAGCTGTGAATCTTTCTCCTATATCACAGGTGGGCTGGCAGCTTTCAAAGCTTTCCTGAAGTCTGAATATAGTGAGGAGAACATTGACTTCTGGATCAGCTGTGAAGAGTACAAGAAAATCAAATCACCATCTAAACTAAGTCCCAAGGCCAAAAAGATCTATAATGAATTCATCTCAGTCCAGGCAACCAAGGAGGTAAGGACTTTTATTGATACCTAATAACTGATATTTCTGGAGTACGTGCATATACTGTGTAATGACCAAATCAGGGCAATTAGGGCATTCACCACTTCAAATGTTTATCACGTCTTTGCATTGAGAACATGCCAAATCTTCTCATATTTTGAATTAAACTATAGATAACTATAGTCACCCTGCTGCTTTATCCAACACCAGAACCTGTTTCTTCTAACCTTGTAGCTATTCCTTGTACTCAGTAGCCATGCTCTCCCAAGAGGTAGGTTTTTATAGCAGTGAACTCTGTGGATCTTAGTGAAATTCCTAGAACAGTGGAGCAGGCTATTATAATCTCAACAACCCTAAATAAATCAATTTATCAATTTAAAAGAGAAGCTCTTTTATCCGTATGACTTACGCAACCTCCTTCAATGTATTTTTCTGATTATTCTTCCCAGTTTGGGAAAAGGAACAAAAGATATTGTTCTGCTCCTTCCCTGAAGCAGAATGAACCTTCAGCCTGGGGCCAGGGTGGAGCCAAAAGTCCTTTTCTAGGTCCCTTTTTGTCACTTCTGGGATGGAAAGGGTGCAAAGTCACTTGTTTACTACAAAGGATGGAGCCTCCCATCTTTGACAGGGTAATGGTCTAACGGAGCCTTACTCTTCTCCCTCAGGTGAACCTAGACTCTTGCACCAGGGAGGAGACAAGCAGGAACATGCTGGAGCCTACCATAACCTGCTTTGATGAGGCTCAGAAGAAGATTTTCAACCTAATGGAGAAGGATTCATATCGCCGCTTCCTCAAGTCTCGATTCTATCTTGATCTGGCTAATCCTGCCAGCACTGGGTCGGAGAAGCAGAAAGGAGCCAAGAGTTCTGCAGACTGTGCTTCCCTGGTCCCCCAGTGTGCATAATTCTCACTTGGAGGCGGAGGCTAAAACGCCAAGACTCTATGCTCTGGGAAACCTGAGGCCAAATATCAATCTGTATTAAGCTCCAGTGCTTTATCCACATTGTAGCCTAATATTCATGCCGCCTGCCATGTGTGAGTCACTTCCCGGTAGAAACTAGAGATCGTTTGGTGTTCGAGTGTTCATCAGGATGGGACCCCATTTTCCCAAGTTTCTTTTAGGGTGCCATGTAAGTTTCTAAATGATGGCCCTTTGGGTCTGGATTTTCAAAGATATTGGCAATTCTCTCCTCCCAACAGTTTGACCTCAGGCTGGTTGGTTAGGACATTTCATGTGACCTCCGCGTGCACATGTCTTTTGTTAGCCAGCACTTTCTCCAGACTCGGGATGTTTAGATGAGGCTGACCCATTATCTGTACATTTGTGTGTGTGTATATATATTTTCTATATGTGTGTGTTTATATATATATACACAAGCACACATGCCTTCTGTGGGTGCGTGTATCTATGTAGATGTTTGTGTATACATGTGAGTATGAGCTGCAAGAGTAGATGGGAAAGACCCCAGGTGCTCATAGTTAGATGTGTATGTGCATGCACATGTGTGTTCTGATCTCTGGCCTTTCATACTACATTTGAACAGGGCAAACCAAACGGATTGCCACGCAGGCTAAGAGAGAAATGCTAACGTGTAGAGAGCTGGTTCTGTAAAGCTCCATCAGTCTTGCTGGACAGGCATCCAAGGGACTTCATGTTTCATTTAACCACTGAGGGCCTCCACCTTGAGCACTATTCTAAGGAGCGAGTATCATACAGACACAGCTTTCTTGGGCTGGTTATCACTAATAGCACTTTTGAGTTCCTAAGCTGCTGGCCTTCCCTTCTTTGCCCAGGTGCTCAGGTCATGCTTAACAGCAGCTGGGTTGGTCTGGGTCTGCAGCTGGTAGCTGGGATGCGCAAGCTGAATGATTCCCTTAAGTAGGTAAGGCCTTGCCAGCTATTCCTACCGTAAGCTACTGGCTGAGCAAGGGCACCATTGAAAGGTTACTGTTCTGAGCTTCTGTCCTTTGTTCTTCTCCTGATCAAGGTGCTCTCCTCATTTTTTTTTTTCCCCTGAGAAACTTAGGCATCAGATGAGGCTCCTTAGTTCACTGTAGCTGGTTGGTCGCATTTTTTGCCAAAATGGCTTGAGGCTATAAGCCTTTATTTGTAAACCAGCAACAGGGGAGAGTTTATATGTTATAAAGGGTGAGACGAGTTTTCACAAACCGAAACGCCCTCATGATGAGTTTTCTCTTTCAAGACCCAATCTTGTTCATTTTATCCCAACATCAGAGATAACCGAGACCGAGGGCATTTTTTCCTAGCCTCTGAGACTAAATGAGAGGAAGAGAAAGGGAAAGAAAAAGTTGGGTGGGGTGGGTACCTGTTGTTAGAACTACTGACTACGGTTTGGAACTTTTCAAGGCACGTGAAATACTTGAAAATTTCTCATTCATGTTATTTATGATGTTTTGTACAATGTTTTTATTATTATATTGTTTTATAAATGGAGGTGCAGAATATCACCTGAATTATTAATGAATGTCCAGGAAGTAATTTTCTTCTCATTCTTCTCTACCTACTGCCTTTGGAAGCGCACACACACGCACACACTCCACCCATTGCTCTAATATAAATTATATGCATGAACACGCTTGTGGCTTCTAAGCCAGTGTACCAGGCTGCAAAATGAAGACACCAGAGTATGTGCATACGACTCATCGTGTTAAAGATGTAGGTTTCTAATTGTACCCTTCTTGCCCCTCTGGCAGTCCTGCTCTAACTATCCCTGGAGTTCCTCATCCGTGTCCCTTTCTATTACACACAATTTCACGATTTTGTCTCTAGTCGACTTCAAATGTGTAATTTTATTGGTCTTGCCCTCTGAGAATTGTCATCACTTTCAGATTGTACCTGAACTCACAGACTGCTGTCTCACAAATAGGTCTGGAAAGTCATTCTGAATGAGAAGTAAATTATTTTATGTAATACATTATTGAGTGTGTTTTTCAATGTATTTTCCTGTGATTTCATCACCATTCAATATGGCGCCCTGACCTGCACATGGCCTGTGGACAGAGTGCTCCTTTCATATGCATGCCTGTCTCTCTCATATGCTTCATACCTAGGCCTCTGAGCTGATGCTTCCAGTGAAACACACGCATCTTAATAATAAGGGTAAATAAACGCTTCCTACAGACTTTCTGCTTGACAACACATTAATGATCCACAGAGTCATGTTGTAAGAAACAGCAGGGTGCCAGAGTGACTTTAGAAAATGACTCATGCTGAGACTTTTATGCCTCCCATGTCAACTAAACAGAAAAGAAAGCAGTACGTGGGCATTGCACGTTCTTCTGTTCCTGCCACTGCTCTGCCTGCATCTGGTCTCAGAACCAAGGCAGTCTTGGCTACAGGGACTTTGTTAACTGATTTAGTGGTTTGTTTGCAGGTCCTTAATAGGTTTTCAAGGGATAAAGTTATCTCCCAGAGCAGTTCTTCCTCTACCTCCATCATTTACCCACTTGACTGAGAAAAGATGGAACAGTGGGAATGGGGGTGGGGGGATGGAAAGGAGCAAGGGACGTCGGGGATACCCAATGTGTTCAAAACCCTTCCCTTTCTGTTGCTGCTTCTCTTCCCTGGAAGGGAAGTCCCAGAACATCCACATCCACAATCACTGGCACTGGGTCTGTTACGTCACGAGACCACCCCGCCCTGAGTTTTCTTTCCCATTGTAAAAGTCATGCTTACAAGGTGTTAGGGACAGAGGATCTTAAATATTTTTGAATAAGAGATCTTTTAAGAATCAGGTGGAAACTACTGACCATCTCCAGAGAAAACTATACAAAAGAATCTAAATTTCTCATAAATTTATCTAGGAAACAGTTACAAACACAAAAACTCACAAACTCTTAAAATGGACAAGACGATCATCCCTTTCCTATGCTGTAGACCCCCACTATCAGAGATGGTGGCCACTGCTCCCCTCCCCGCTTGTGGTAGCATCTTCCAAGGACCATAGGGCAATTCCAAGCTCCTGCTACCATCAAGTGTCTGTCGAAGTGTTCTTTTCTCCAGTCTCTCCATCCTTCCTCCTTTCTTTCTGCTTTATAGTTTACCATTAAGTACATAAAAAATAGATCAAGGACTATCTTTTGAAAAACACTTGCTGTTGCTTCCTGTGTCAGGTATTTGCCTAAGCACTTTATTTAAATAGCACACTTAATTCTTATAACAATCCAAAGATATAGATGCCCATAAAAACCATTTTTACTGCAAATTTTTAGAGATGAGTAAACTGAAGCACAGAGAAGTAACTTGCAAGGTACCTGCCTCAGGCTGTGTTCTAGAGCTCTGTGTTAATAATGCTTCGATTTTTAAAATGAGATGATAGGAAAATTAAAGAAAGAGGGAGAAAAAACAAATAAAAAAGAAGTACCTTCAGCGGCGGTGCCTGTGGCTCAAAGGAGTAGGGCACCAGCCCCATATGCCGGAGG